CATCACCATCACCATCACCACCATCACCACCACCACCACCATCACCATCACCACCACCATCACCACCATCATCACCATCAGCATCAGCATCACCATCACCACCATCACCATCACCACCACCACCACCATCACCATCACCACTGTCTCTTATACACATCTAGATGTGTATAAGAGACAGGTGNACCATCACCACCACCACCACCATCACCATCACCACCACCATCACCACCATCATCACCATCACCACCATCACCACCATCACCACCATCATCACCATCACCACCACCACCATCACCATCATTGTTACTTAAGAAGAAATTGAAAGAAATAAGACTACTACTGTGAGAGTTTATAACACACTTGTCAGTAAAAATAACACATAAAATCTCTACAGTATAATTATTCCTGTTACATCAACAGGCATGTGTCAGGCATCACATTTCGAGGGTATAGACGATCTTCGTAAGCATTTACGGGCCATTTACAAATACTGATTCTATGCTAGATTCCAAAGAAGACTGTAAAAAAAAAAATCTCAGTGAAACAGAAACCTCCGGAAAAGATCTCACTGTGCAGCTGCACCCCCCGGTCCCTTGCCCCCTCCCCCTACAGAGACACAGTGTGTCTTCCTTTCCAGGCTGGTTAATCCCTCCACCTGTGTTGTGCATCCCACCCCCTCTGCTTTCCCAGAGTCCCACTCCGCTCATCATCCCTGCTCCTTCCTTTCTCTCTTCTCCCCCTCCCTTAAATGTGGAATAAAGATGACCCTATCTCTTTCATATTAAATGAGTTTAATTTTTTTGTGATTTTTGTTAATGTTTTTATTGATTTCAGAGAGAGGAAGGGAGAGACAGAGAGAGAAACATCAGTGATGAGAGTCATGGATCGGCTGCCTCCTGCGCGCCCCCTGCTGGGGATCATGTGCCCTGACCGGGAATCGAACCTTGACCTCCTGGTTCCTAGGTCGACGCTCCACCACTGAGCCACTCCGGCCGGGCAACGCCCCCAGTTTTGACTGACCTTGAGTGTTTTATGGGCCTTTAGTGCACAAATTTTACGACATTTATGTCCTTTCCCAGGGGAGGAAAACGTGATTGCCGTTCCTTTGGGGAGCCGCAGTGTGAGAATTACCGTGAAAGGACCCGCGCACCTCTGTGAGTAGGATTTCATCTTAGCATCGTTTATTTCCTGAAAGTTTATTTAGCCCCCCCTCCCAAAAAAATCTTCCTTTGTGTCAAATGGGTGTGTGGACAAACACCTCAAGGCCATTGACTCTGGAATAGTCTGTATCAGTGGGAAATTGACCCATTTGGGATGAATCCCTCAGGGGAGAGGAAATCAAGTTGTATGTGCAATAAGCTATTTTTATGGAGAAAGTAAACTAGGGCTCGAGAGCCTTCTGGAGGTCTCAGCAGTTTGAACAAAAACATCAGACAAAATGAAAACCACACCAGTGGATGTAGCTGACGAGGGTGAGCTTTGTTGCCAGGATATCAGGATTTCAGGTCCCCGGGCACTGAGCGTAAACACTGGTTTCCCAAGAACACTGGGAGTTGGAAACAGTGCAGAATCGTTTGGCCAAAGAATTATTTTGCCCAAAGTATTTTTTCTTCGGCCAAAGTCAGGTAGCATCTCCTCTGGCTTCGTTTCTCCGGTGTCTTGGGACCTGAAGGAACTGGAAATACCAACGTTTGTCTCCTCCTGTCCCAAGGTCTCCTTGTGGCCACAGGCTGGACTTTCTTAGTCTTTTTTGCCAAGACTGGCCCCCTGGCCTTGAAGAATCTCACTGTGTTCAGCTCTCTCTTCTTACACAAAGTACAAAACACTGTTTTAAAATCACGCAAGTCAAGGTTCACTCCACCTAAGGGCTACATATTTTGCTTTTTTATTTGGCCCCGAACACCATTTAGATTTTTCAATTATTAAAATTTTTCAGGACCAAAGGCATCTTACGTGTTTGGTAGCTTTTAAGTGTATGTGTGTGTGTGTGGGGGGGGGGGGTTGTTTTGGGGGATTCTTGAATGGAAAGTCAGGGCACCTGTGGCCTTGAAGAAGTCCATTTTCTGGACTTCCCCTGTGTCCATGGGAGGTATGGTCCTAGATGATGTTCCCCCCCATGATGCTAAGNCTTCAACCGGGGGAAAAAAAAAAAAAAAAAAAAAAAATCCCATTTCTCCAAAGCTGACAGACCTGTAGCTCGAAACACTCCCCTTTCGGAAAGTCTCGCAGTTGACCTTAGAAATGTTCCCAAAAGTTATCCCCTGCTGGCGGATACCACTGGCTTTGTTTACAAAGGACTTAGCTACCATTTCTGGGCCTCTAAATATAGACACGGCTTTACTTTCTTGATTTATACGACTGTTTTCTCCATTTTTATTTTCAACAAAGATACAGTCCTGAAACTCAGCTCAGCTTGCAATAACGAATCATTTTTTTTAAACATCCGTGTTAACTACAACCCCCCCCCC